CCCTGTGACCCCCCCCAATAGCCCCCCTTACCTCTCTCCCAGATAGAGGGGGGCACTTCTAGGGGGCACAGCTGGAAGCTCCTGTTCACCTGGGGGCGAGAGAAGGGGGAAGGCTGTTACCCACAATGCCCGGCTGCACTGAGAGGGCCCTCTGCCCCCTCCCAACACCAGGTGTGAGATAGGGATGCCCGAGGTCTGTGGGAGAGCCTGTGGGGACTGGGAGCCCAGACGCCCAGGGTCTCTGGACTAGGGGGGATGGGAGCCCAGACACCCATCATCTCCTGGCTAGGAGGGTGGGAGTCAGGATGCCCGGGGTCTCCAGCCTGGGGGGTGGGAGCGGACTAGGGTGGGGGTGGGAGCCTGGACGCCTAGGGTCTCCGGGTCACAGGAGCTGGAGCAGCACACAGGTCACTCACCTTGCTGGAGTAGACGGGCACAGCTATAACCCTGGCGCTGGGCGGGAGGCGCCGACGCTTGGGGCGAGGGGGCGCTGCCACCCTTGTGTCCCTGTTGCTGCCCCCTGTGCGGCGCGGGCACACGTTCTTCTGTGGGAGAGGAGCAGGGTCAGTGCTGGTTGTTCCCTGGCCCCCAGCCCTCGTCCCCCTACACTCACCAGCTCCATGTCGCTGTCGCTGTCACTGTCACTGCCGGACTCTGGCGGCGGCCTCCGGCCCTGCTGTGGGGGGGCCCCCATGGCCTGCGGGACAAGAGCGGTCAGAGCCCACGCCCCGCACCCTGGCAGTGCTCCCTGCTCCCGATCCCTGCCCCAGCGGTGCCCCCTGCTCCCAACCCTCCCCCCCAGCAGATAAGGCTAAAGTTGGTTCCTGATTCCCAGTTCCTAATTCCCGGTTCTTTTTCCAAAGCGAATCTAGACCCAATAAAAACTAGTTCTTAATGAACTAAACAACCTAGAGAGACAGAATTTCATTAGCTACGCATATGTACTAATTAACATGTAAAATAATATTTCACATCAAGTACAGGGCCCTAAACGAAGGTCAGATTAGGATGGGATTATGGGGCAAAATACTTCTTGGGCCACCCCACATTTCGTGCTGATGCCACTGGGGGACTGTCCCAAAGAACTGTGACCACAGTCCTGCCTGGCCCAAAGCACGGTTTGGCCGTGCCCGCCTGCCAGCTAACAGCCCCCATGCCCACTATACTAAGTATAATGGCTTGAGTAAGAAACTGGCTTTCAGGCTGGGATTATGGCTAGAAATTCTGCTTGGGCCACCCATCAGAATACCTCTGTGCGACCAGGGGACTGTCCTGGACAATTGTGACCAGAGACTTGCCTGACCCAAAGCACGGTTTGGCTGTGCCAGGCTGCCAACAGACAGCACCCCAGCAGCTGTACTAAGTACACGGAACTGAATAAGGAACTGATTTTGGGCTGGGATTATACCCAGAAATCCTTCTTGGGCCACCCCAGACCATGTCCCTGTGCCATGGGGGAACGCTTCTGGAGATCTCTGATCAGAGAACTGCCCAACCCAAAATGCAGTTTGGCTGTGCCAGGCTGCCAATAGACAGCACCCAAGCCACTGTGCTAAATATATGGAACTGAATCAGGAACTGGATTATGGGCTGGGATTATATCCACAAATCCTTCTTAGGCCACCTCAGACCACACCTCGGTGACACCAGGGGATGCTTCTGGACACCTCTGATGAGATACTTGCCCATCCCAAAGCACAGTTTGGCCATGCCAGGCTGCCAAGAGACACCACCCCCCAGACACTCTTCTAAGTATCTGGAACCAAATAAGGACCTGGATTTTGGGCTGGGATTATACCCAGAAATCCTTCTTAGGCCACCCCAGACCACACCTCTGTGGCACCGAGGGTCTCTCCTGGACATCTCTGAACAGAGACTTGCCCAACCCAAGACGCGCCAGATTGCCAACTGTCAACCACCCCCAGACACTGTGCTAAATATATGGAATCGAATAAGGAACTGGATTTTAGGCTGGGATTATACCCAGAAACCCTTCTTGGGCCACCCCAGACCATGTCTTTGTGCCACTGGGGGACGCTTCTGGATATCTCTGACCACAGATTTGCCTGGCCCAAAACGCGATTTGGCCGTGCCAGGCTGCCAACAAACAGCACTGAAGGCACTGTGCTAAGTATATGGAACCGAATAAGGAACTGGCATATGGGCTGGGATTATACCCAGAAATCCTTTTTGGGCCACCTCAGACCGCACCTCTGTGGCACCGAGAGACACTCCTGGACATCTCTGACCAGAGATCTGCCTAGCCCAAAATGCGGTTTAGCCGTGCCAGGCTGCCAATCGACACCACACGCCAGACATTGTGCTATTTATCTGGAACTGAATAAGGAACTGGATTTGGGGCTGGGACTATACCCAGAAATCCTCCTTGGGCTACCCCAGACCACATTTCTGTGGCACCGGGGGACTGTCTTGCACATCTCTGACCAGAGATCTGATCAGCCCAAAACACACTTTGGCTGTGCCAGGGTGCAAACTAACAGCACCCCAGCCACTGTGCTATATTAATGGACCTGAATAAGGAATTAGATATTGGGCTGGGATTATTACTAGAAATCCTTTTTTGGCCACCACAGACCATGTCTCTGTGCCACCGGAGGATGCTTCTGGGCATCTCTGACCAGAGATTTGCCAGGCCCAAAACACGGTTTGGCTGTGCCAGGCTGCCAACGGACAGCAGCCAAGCAACCTGGCGCGGCTATACCGCATTTTGGGCCAGGCAAGTCTCGTTCAGATATGTCCAGGAGTGTCCCCCAGTGCCACAGGGATGCTTTCTGGGGTGGCCCAAGAAGGATTTCTAGCTATAATCTGAGTCCAAAATCCAGTTCCTTATTCGGGGCCCAATAGTTAGCACCGTGTCTGAGGGGTTGTTTCAGCTGGCAATCTGGTGCGGCTAAACCGTGTTTTAGGCCAGGCACGTCTCTGGTCAGAGATGTCCATGAGTGTCCCCCGGTGCCACAGAGGTGTGGTCTGGGGTGGCTCACGAAGAATTTCTGGGTATCATCCCAGCCCAAATTCCAGTTCCTGATTCAAATCCATATACTTAGCACAGTGGCTGCGGTGCTGTGTTTTGGCAGCCTGGTATGGCCTCACCGCACTTTGGGCCAGGCAGGTCTCTAATCAGAGATGCCCAGAAGCATCCCCTGGTGGCACTGACGTGTGGTCTGGGGTGGCCCGAGAAGGATTTCTGGGTATAATCCCAGCCCATAATCCAGTTCCTGATTCGGTTCCATGTACTTAGCACAGTGCCTGGGGTGCGGTCTGCTGGCAGCCTGGCACGGCCAAACTGTGCTTTGGGCCGGGCAAGTCTCTGGTCAGAGATGTCCAGGACAGTCGCCCGGTGCCACAGAGGTGCGGTCTGGGGTGGCCCAAGAAGGATTTGTGGGTATAATCTCAGCCCCAAATCCAGTTCCTTATTCAGGCCATTATACTTAGCGCAGCAGGCATGGGGGCTGTTAGCTGGCAGGCGGGCACGGCCAAACCGTGCTTCGGGCCGGGCGGGACTGTGGTCACGGTTCTTTGGGACAGTCCCCCAGTGGCATCAGCACGAAATGTGGGGTGGCCCAAGAAGTATTTTGCCCCATAATCCCATCCCAATCTGACCTTCGTTTAGGGTCCTGTACTTGATGTGAGCTGTTATTTTACATATTAATTAGTACATGCGCGTAGCTAATGAAATGCTATCCCTTTAGGATGCGTAGTTCATTAACAACACGTTTTGAGTGGGTCCAGATTCGCTTTGGAAAAGGCACCGGGAATTAGGAATACGAAACTGGGAATAAGGCCTAGGGACCCGGGAATAAGAAACTGGGAACAGGGAGCCTGGAATTAGGAACAAGGAACCGATTTGAGACTCATCCCCGGCCGTGC